GGGGGGCGGACTACAAAAGCAAGAAGTGACTGCCTTACATGCTTTCAAGAGGGAGCCTAGATCCAGAGGGCATGGAAGAAGGTAGAATCTCTACTGAGTAGTATCCAATCTGTCTGGGGCGGATGAAAGGAGATGGGGATAGGTCTCAAGTGGTACAATAGTAAATAACTGATATCAGGACTGATTGTGAGGGTTGGAAATGTAAAGGTACATGTTTCGTAGCAAAATGAGGGGAGTGATTGACTTTGCAGTCCAGGAGCAGAGGTTCCTGGAACCATCAAGGGTGAAGAGTGGAGAACGGAACCCTACCCAGAGAAGCAGTGATGCCAGAGATGGAGGCAGAGACAATGATGTGGAGAGATGGAGTGGCTGGGGACTTTAGACACAGAAAGGGAGAGGGGCTGTGTGCTGATGACTGGGGGGCAGATGACTGGGGGCAGGCTTGCAGGGTATACCCTTTGGTTGTATGATGATGCATGGAGGGGATTGTAATCATGGCAATGAACACGATAGGATGAATGTAAAGCTAATGTTCTCCCATGTAAACTATCAAGTAATTCACAATAAAACATTAAAAAAAAAAAATTATCTAGAGAAGCAGCGACACCAGAGATGGAGGCAGAGATGAGGACAGGGAGAGAGGGAGCAGCTGAGGACTCTATAGACTCATGGAACGAGAAAGGCTGTGTGCTGGCGGCCAGGAGGCAGGCTTATGTACCCTTTGGTTGTTTAAATGATTATGTATTCCTGAGTGTTTTTGTATATATTGCGCCACCCACAGCCAAAAAAAAAAACAAAACAAAAAACAGAGAGCATAAGAAGCAAATACTGTTGAATGATGATGTACAGAGATTGTGATCATTGTAATGAAACGAAGGTATAAAGCCGATGTTCTCCCATGTAAACTATCATTCAGTTCACAACAAAAACATGAAGAAAAAAAAAAAAAAACACCTATCCAGCACTGCCACAAAATGTGAGTCAAATGCCAAACATTATATAAGCCTCAAAGAAAGGAAAAGACCTTTGTGGATTGAAAGAGAGAAATCTTACTTGGGGGGACTTGTAAAGCTTAACTGGCAGAGGGATTGGAGAGAGCAAAGAGGAGAAAATAAGCAACAAGGTGGATCAGAATCCAAAGACCTGGGGAATGGAGTCTCCAATACCTGACCTGTCTGCTGCACAGAATAACCGCACTGAAAGGGACTTTGCAGGCCAACCCTTCTCAAACAGACTAAGAGAGGTGGAGTGCCTCGTTTACAGATAACACTCAGGACTAGAGCGCTTTCAGGACAGTGCTCTTTCCAGAGCCTTGAGGGATCACTAAGTCACAGGAAACTAGAAACTAAGGAGTCATTCACACCTACCCCCTAGGGCCTCTTCCCACCTTTTCGTTTCAACTAGGCAAAGAGCAGAGTGGCTAAGGGTACAGGGTTACCTGTGTGACACAGTAGGAGAGTAATTTAACCTTTCCAAGCCTCCATTTTCACATCTGCACAATGAACACTAAAAGTCCGTCCCATCACAGGACTGTGGAGTGTCTGGCATATGGGATGGCCTCAGTGAATGACAGTTGTTAGCGTTTCAGCCTGTTTGCTTCTGCCTAGAA